ATATATATATATATATATATATATATATATATATATATATATATATATATATATATATATATATATATATAACCATACCTAATATCCAATGGCCAGAATGTAATAATTGTTTTTTTAATTGTTAAAATATTGGTGTCTGTCATGCAAAAAGTCCAGAGACTGTTGTGTACACCATGATTTTACATAAAATTCCCTTTAAAGTGTGATAGGACTAAAAAGCACACATAAACGAATATATCCTCAACTCATATGAGCGGCTTAGACCCAGAAATAGAATTCCATGCAGCTTCCAAAAGATGATTTTCATCATAGGTGCCCTTTAAAGCTACACTATTTTTCCATTTTCTAGAAATATAGTCAGATAAAATAAACGTACACAGTCAAACTAACACAATTTAAATGTTTTAATTGTTATTATAAATAGCACAACATGTTACCCAGTCATGTTTTCCCTTGTACAAGTGAAAAATACACTTTCTTGAACATCTTGCGTATTTAACTCGTTTACCTTTAGTGAAACTAAAAATAATACATTCGCATATATCTAAACTCGTAACTGTAATACTAATAAAAGTGTACATGTATTATAAACACTCTCCCACAAACAGTTTCTTTAAAAAAAGACTCTAGTCTGTATGAGCAAGTGCTTTATACAGGCAAAGTCTTCAACAACAGCACACAAATACTGTAACGTGTGTGTGTTTGGCTGATTTTAACAAAATCGATGAGCATGTGAGGGTCAAAAAAGATCACATGAAACAAAATAAAATGTGAAAAATACAGAAAAAAAAATTAAAACTTGCAAATTAAAATGCAATAATAAATAAAAATACATTGTAATTTATGTAATATTTTAATCTAAATATTGCAAAAAAATTTTAAATGTCTATATATATATATATATATATATATATATATATATATATATATATATATATATATATATATATATATATATATATATATATATATATATAGATATAAAGATATAAATATATATATATA